GCACTATGGAATCCGACGGATGTCCAAAGGGCCCCCCCGGATTTCTCAAGGATGCATATACATGTCTTGGGGGAACCCATGGACGCCCGATGAAAGTCATTGGATGCCCTGAGGAATCCCATTGCTATTTCAAAGCAAATCATATCGATGTCCGAAGGAAGCTTATGGATACCCTAAGAACTATTGTAGCTGGCGTAAGGAATCCGATGGATTTCTCCAGGGGCCCTATGGGTTTCTGAACGAACCCGGAGGATTCCCCAAGGAATCCGATGGACGTCTTAAGGAATCCTGCGGATTGCCGAAGGGATCCTTTGGGCAGCCTAGAGGCGCAATGGATTTCTCAAGAAATCCCATCGGTTTCTCTGGAATGCAATGGATTTCTTAAGGCGCCCCGTGGAGTGCATCAGAAAGCATATAGACGTCCGGCATAATATTGCGCATGCCCTGAGAAACCCGATGGGCGCCCTAAGGAATCCGATGGATCGCCAGAGAGATCACGTGGATCCCCTCCGGAATCCCCAAGATGTCCGAAGGAATCTTCGAGTCTCGCAGGCCAGGGTCGAGCAGGACTACAAGTTCCCCGGGGCGAATGAGCTGGAGCGGCGCAGCTGCAGGTCAGCGCGCCCCAGATGGGGCCCGAGAAGATGGGTCGGGGGATCGCGCCGCGTCGCCGACGCATCGCCGATGCTGCTCGATGCGGGGCCCGTCCTTCTCCGCGCCGACGTCGCCAGCGCGCGGCCGACGCGTCGCTGATGCATCGGCGATGTTGCGCGATCCGCCGTCCGCACTTATTCGGGCCCCATCTGGGGCGCCTTTAGCAGGGCACTTCCGCGCGCGGAGCTCGCCCAGCAGCGCGTGATCATGACTTGCGAGCAGATAATGAGGGCGACGCCCTCGAGCTGGAAACGGCGCGCGCGCTGCTCGGCGATGTCGGGGGGCGCGCGGGCGCCCCCGAGACCGCTGCGGCGGTCGAGCCCACGTCGGCCGTCGCCCGGGCTCGAGAGGGCCAGGGCGAGGACGGGCCCCGCCGCCCAGCAGCCCGAGGAGCAGAACGCTGGACCGAGAGAGTCGAGAAGGCCGGGCACCTGCTGATCGCGGCGGACCCCCTGGCCCCCGCGCACTACACCTACCTCGAGGCGCCCAAGCAGCGCGGGCGGGCATGAACGCCGAGCGCCGCGACGCCCTCGAGTAGCCGCCCGAGAACGCCAGGCAGGCCGCCGCCAGGGCCCCCTGAAAGCTCGGCGCCATCGGCCCTGGCGAGGAACGCACAGCGAGCAGCAACGAGACGTTCCGCGCGGATGGCTGGACCTGCGGGCGCTGGGCGAAAAAGTCGGTCGAGCGCGCCCCGCGCGAGATCCGGGGCGAGGGCCGCCAACCGCCCATCGCCATCAGCCAGGCGCGCGCACGAGGCAACGAGCGGGGCGCGAGCGACAACCAGCCCGCCAGAGCCAAGACCGAGGTCAAAGCCAAGGCCAGGAGCATGGGCAAGGCCCAGCCGCCGAAGTGCCCGACCGCGCTCGAGCCCAACCGCGGGACCTTCGAGGAGGCAAGCGCTGCAGCGCCAGCACGCACGGAGGGCGGCCGAGCCTGCGTGGGCGAGCCTGCGTGGGAAGCCGAGCCTGCGTGGGCGAGCGTTTCGAGGTTGTTTTCACGAGAGGTTTCCTGGCGAGGAGCGCCAAGACCGTGGGCAAGTTGCAAATGCCAGATCTCAAGGAGCGCCAAGGACGATCAGAGAGTATCTCAAGAGACGCCCAGGATTGCCTTCATCACCATCATCGTCATCATCTTCATCATGTTGTTTCATCGCCAACCCCCTGGACCCACCGAGGAACCCTGTGGATTTCCACAAGAATCCTTCGCATCCCCGACGAGATCCGATTGATTCCCGCAGGCCTCCCATTGATCGCCTAAGCACCGTTCTTGATTTCCAAAGGTCACCTGGAGATGTCCTGTGGCATCCCATGGATGTCCCGGGGTCCGAAGGATGCCCGAAGGAACCCGATGGATGTTTTTTATGAACCCCATGGATCTCCGAAGGAGCCATGTGGGTTTTCAGTGCGGAGTCCTCTGGAGTGCTGAAAGAATCCGATGGGTGTCTTGTGGGATCCTACGGATGTCCTAGGGAGTCTCGTGCGTTTCTTGAGGGGCCCAGAAGATGTCCGAAGGGGTCCTATGGATGCCCCAAAAAGCCATACGGGTTTTCCCAGGAACCCGATCGGTATCTTAAGGTATCCGTGTGGATTGAGATAGCAGCCTTGTGGATGTCCTAATGAATCCGATGGAAGTCCTAGAACACCCCATGGATATCCTAAGGGATCCAATGGGTTCTCGAAAGGATCCAATGGATGTTCGAAGGGTTCCGATGGATGTCCACCGCCTGTGATATATATATATATATATATATATATATAATATATATATATAATATATATATATATATATATATATATATATATATATGGAAACATCGTTTCCCAATGCGTCCTGTTCTGGATGTCTTTATGGGGTCCTACTTAAGAAATCCAATGGATGTCCGAAGGTTTCCCGTGGATACCCTAAGGCACCCGGCTAATTTCCGAAATAATATTACGGATTGTTTTTTGGGACTCGTATGGATTCTCGACGGAATCCTATACATGTCCTAAGGCATACTGTGGATGTCCGAAGGAATCCGATAGATGTCCCAACGAGTCCGATGGATTCCCGGATTCTTCCTAGAGCTGTCCTACGGACTTTTCTTGAGCGTCCATGACCATTTTGATCATCATTCTCATCGTCATCATCCTCATCACTCTGCTACAAGATCAAGGAAAACGTTTCTGATCCCCCTGGGCCCCGAACTTGAGTATCACATGGGGATCAACATCAAGGGCACAGGGTAACTGGTACCGACGCCGCTGCCCCATTCCCGCGTTCGCCTTTTCGGGCGTCCTGGGAGGCTTTCGTGGCCACGGTCGGATTCGCTGCGAATTTTTGGTCCAGAGGCACCCCGGGGAAAGTCCGGGGAATATTCGTATCAGTGCTTTCTGGTCCCCCCGAGGAAGTGCAAAGTGACGTCTTAGGCCGAAGAACAGAACATGGCATTAGCATATTGTCTCGGGATGCCGCGCGGATCTCCTGGATCGGCGTTGGGGCCCCCCTGGCGGCGCCGCCTACGTCGCCCCTGGCGCGCTCCGCGCTCCACGGAGGGGGGGTCCAGCGCCGATCGGCAGAAATTAGTGCGGACCTTCGAGAAAACATGTTTTTGGCATTTCTTGTTCTTCTATGATTGCCTGGACACACACCAGAAACCCGTAGATCACCTGGCGGATTGCCTCAAGGGCTGCGCTCTGGTGTTGGTTCCGGTCGGCGTGCCCAGCAAGGGGAGGCCCAGGAGCGAGCTGCTGAAGACCAACGCACACATAACAAAGACCATAGTCGAGGCTTGCGCGAAGTTCTGCCCTACCGCCGTCGTGGGTCTGATCGTAAATCCTATGAGCTCTATCGTTGGGTTCCCTCTGGATTCTGGTTGTTCTTCAAACACGAGTCAGACATTCTTGACGCTTCGCGCATCCCCACCAGAGACCCCGCGCTCGGTCGCTGTTTAATTAGGCTCGCGCGTAGCCCGCTCGACCTTTCGGACGCCTCCTGCGCGTTCGCTTGCGGCCGCGACTAAAAAAAAAGTATCCCCACCAGCACATCCAGAAACAGATCGCCAGGCGTGTTGCCTTGATCAAAGAGGTGTAGAAGCATGCAGTGCAACAGCCGCCTTGGAAGTGTTTGTTTTCCAGAGGTCTTTTGGAGCCGTCCTGGGTCTTTCTTGAGGTCCTCGCGGAGCCACTTGGGGCACTCTTGGGGCTTTCTTGGAGCTCCTCTGGGGGGTCCAGGGGCCCTCTCGGGGCTCTTTGGGCGGGTCGTGGGGGCCTCTTGGGGTCGTCTTGGGCCCCATGGCTAAAAAACAGAGGGGGGCCTCAATTCAGCCCACCCCCTTCGGAGGCTCAAAAATTATGTATTGAGGCCCTCTTGGGGCGCTCTTGGAGCCCTCTTGGGCTCCTCTTGGGACTCTCTTGGGCCGTATTGGGTCCATTCTGAGATCTCAAGAGACCATCGGAAGCGAAAAGGCGAGAAGGCATAACACATTGATTTTCCCCAGGTTGTTGAAGGATTTGGGCCTCTTGGGGGAGTCCTTATAGGGCTCGGAGGGCACTTGAAATCGTCTCCCTCCTCCCAGGGTAGGGGGAGGTGTAAGCCGCTCCCCCGAGCAGGGGAAGAAGGAGTCTCGGCAGAGAGCAGTCAGAGTTCGGTAAACCCACCCACGCCCAGAGGGCTGGTGGGATTAGGATTACTGGGGTCTCGTTCACGCGTTGGCGCCCCGGGCCCGAAAATTATTGTTTTTGATCGCTTCCCCCCTCCGCGCTCCCTGGGCGCGCGCCTGGGCGGCCGACGTGTCAGACGGAGCCGAGGCGGAGGGGTTAGGAGGAGGGGTGTTAAAGGAGGAAGGGAGGATGCAATGGCAGCGACGAAGGGACAGGATGTGCACTCGCCGTGAGCCGTAATAGGAAACAGACGATGAGAAGGTGCAGAGGGAGATAGACCTAGGCGCTGCAGTAGAACATTACACAGGATCTGGGCAGCAGTTGTACCATCACGGTTTGTGGTTGGGTTGTAGCGTTGTCATGTGTTTGTGCATGTCTCCGTTGTTTTAGATGTCTGAGCAATTTTGAAACCACGTCTTTAATTTTATCCACGAGAGCCAGCAATTATTGTTTGAATTGTTCACACACACATGGTTTATTAATCGTCATCTCGCATTATCCAGAAAGACCAACGACCGTACCCAACACGACTACTCCAAAGTCGTGTAGGCATGTTCGGAACCATTAGTACATAGGATGGCAACAACGTGCACTTATGACGCACGCCAAGCGACCCCCCCCCCGCCCGCCTTACGCACGCTGGCCTAAATTAGCTTCCAAGTGCATTTGAAGAGCCAGAGGGGACCCAACTCCATCGTGCCGGCGATGGCGACGCTTTATAAGAGGTGGGGTCACGATCCACAGAAAATTTGTGGCGTGACCACACTCGATGTGGTCCGGGCGAACAAGTTTGTGCATGAGGTGACAGGCTGTCCCATCGAGAAGATTAGCGTGCCCGTTGTCGGGGGCTATTCTGGGATGGGGAAGTGCGAGTCGGCGGTGCCCCTGTTCTCGCAGGACCCCGCAGCCCGCGGGCTGTCGCACGAGCAGAAGTTTCAGCTGATGAGCCGGCTGCAGGAGTCGTGGGGCATCGGAACAGATGAGAATAACAGTTGGATTCCTCGAATTCCTTCGGTGGGACCTCTCAGGTTTCTCTGGCAAACGGGGAGCTGCGGTAGCATCTCTCCAGCAGATCCGCCTCTCGCGAGTTCTTCAATGTTTCGTCATCTTCCTACAGCAAAGCCGAGGCATGCTGAAGGCAGCGTGACCGTCCTAGAGGGTACTTACATTAGCAATTGGAAGCTACTGCCACAGGTAACGAAGCAGGTAGCAGCGCATGGGCAACCTGTGTTTTCGCCCCTGGTTTTTGAGGTTTCTTGCTCATGACGCCTCCCTCCAATTACCGACACTTCGCGTATCCCCACCATTCGGACGTTGACCCGCTCCATGTCCCTCGCCGTGGAGCCGCAAACCAAAAAAAAGTATCCCCACCACCAGCCTTCCCATCCAGAAACAGTTCGTAGGCGAGCGTCCGTGAGAAAGGAACAAGATGGAGGAACGCGGCACTTAGAGGAGGGACATTGGTGAAACCGAAGCTGGTTCTGCTCGAGGGGCTCCCCGCCAGTAGCAACAATTGGATCCTTGGGCCCCCTGGAGCCCTCTCGAAGCCATATGAGAGCCCTCCTTGGGCTTTCCTGGGGACCTTTAAGACACTTGAGGCCTGTTTGTGATGCATGGTTATCTGAAGGGCTTCGCCTTCAGCCGCCGGGTCCCATCTGAGATTGCTTGTGTGGCCATGCCTGGTCCGCTGGATTCACTTAATGGTCGGTTGGCTCGCTGGTAACTCGGCTGGTCGGCTTCTCCTCTTAACAGACTGGACAGTTGAGTTGAACTCTCTGCCGCCTGGCTGGTTGCGCGCGTCTTTGGTGATTGATCGAATGGTCTTGGGCCCATCCCGCCACCGTGCCTGGGCTGTGGGTATGACGCCTACTGGATGTTCGTTGGGATATCGTGGGAGGCCCCTCGGGGGCCTTTCGGAAGCAGTTTGGTCGCCTCTTGGGTGCTTTGGGGGGGGACCTCTTGGGGCCTACTTGGGGTCTCTTGCGGGCCTCTTGGGGCCTCTGGGGGGCCTCGTGGGGCCACCTGGGCGCCTCTTGGCGCCTCCTGGGGGGCCTCTTGGAGCGCAAGGCTCGGATTTTCTGTTCGTGTTCCCTCTTTTGGGCCCCTTGTGGGGCCGTCTGGCAATACAGCTTCGAAGCCATACAGATTCCTGCGTTCTCGTCCTCAACCTTCTTCCGCATCCTCCTCCCTGATCCTTCTCACTCGTCGCAGTCACTTCTTTACCCTTTTCAATTAGCATGATGATTGCCATCCTCCCTCCTTGCTCCTCCCTCTTTTTACCTAACAGCTTTTGCTGATAGGTTTCTAGTGGTCTCAAAAGAGAGCATCATGACTCCTCAGGGGGGTCTGGGCGGGACCCGGACAGGCTGCCGCCGAAGTTGCCGCCGAAGCCGAAATCGCTTGGGACATCCTCTCAAAATCGCTCTTGGTGCTCCCAGAACTCCATTCCCGGGCCACATTTTGGATGCCCGGAGCCAACTGTAGGCCACTTCGTGCTCTTCGACTTCCCAGAACTCCATTCAGGCCACATTTTGGATGCCCGGAGCCAACTGTAGGCCACTTCGTGCTCTTCGATTTCCCAGAACTCCATTCCCGGGCCACATTTTGGATGCCCCGAGCCAACTGTAGGCCACTTCGTGCTCTTCAAGTTCCCAGATCTCCATTCCTGGGCATGATTTTGAATGCCCGGAGCTAACTGTAGGCCACTTCGTGTTCTTCTAGTTCCCAGAACTCCATTCCTGGGCCACATTTTGAATGCTGAGGCAGGCTGATGCTGCGGCCGAGGCAGGCTGAGGCTGAGGCAGGCTGAGGCTGAGGCCGAGGCTGAAGGCAGACTGAGGCTGAGGCTGAAGCAGACTGAGGCTGAGGCTGAGGCAGGCTGAGGCTGAGGCTGAAGCAGGCTGATGCTGAGGCAGGCTGAGGCTGAGGCTGAGGCTGATGCAGGCTGAGGCTGAGGCAGGCTGAGGCTGAGGCCGAGGCTGAAGGCAGACTGAGGCTGAGGCTGAAGCAGGCTGAGGCTGAGGCTGAGGCAGGCTGAGGCTGAGGCAGGCTGAGGCTGAGGCTGAGGCAGGCTGAGGCTGAGGCTGTGACTGCGACTGCCGTTGCCGCTGCGACTGTCATCGCGAATGCGACTACGACTGCGAGAACAGCAGAATTCTACAACTGGATTTTCATCTGAATCTTAAGGGGAATGCTTTCAGATATGCTTTTACACATCGCTGTTAGGTTGCTTTGCCGGGATAATTTTGTATCCCTTCTCCCCCTTCTCATCATCCCTCATCCTCCTCGCTCCTCGATTCTCTTCCTCGCTCACCCTCCTCCGCATCCATCCCCCTCGTCCTTCCCCTCGTCGTCCTCCTCCCTCCCTCCCTGCGCCTCCTCTCGCTCGTTCTGCCTCGTCTTGCCTCCTTGGCCTGGGACTGCAGATGCTGCGCTGGCATGTGCTCGGCATGTGCGGGACGAGGTGGAAGCAGCCAGCTATAGGTCCTCGTCCCGCACTTGCCGGGCACATCCCAGGCACACGCTGGCAGAATCTCTGCCCAGCATGGGGGGGCCGGGAGGGAGAAGGAGGAGGAGGAGGAGAACGAGATATGAGGATGGGAGACAGGTAATCCAAGTAGAGATACAGGGAAGATGAGGTGCGTGCACGGGTTCGGTTTGGTTCAATCGGGGTGGTATAGGCATGTCGGTACGTATTCAGTGTGGGTTGGTGTGGGTGTGGGTGTGCGTGTGTGCGTGTGTGCGTGTGTGTGTGTGTGTTGTGTTAGTGTGTGTGTTGTGTGTTGTGTGTTTGTGTGTGTGGTTTTGTGTGTTTGTGTGTGATTGTGAGTGTGAGTGTGAGTGTGATTGTGATTGTGATTGCGATTGTGATTGCGATTGTCAATGTGATTGTTAATGTGATTGTGAATGTGGTTGTGGTTGTGAATGTGGTTGTGATTGTGAATGTGGTTGTGATTGTGGGTGTGATTGTGGTCGTGGTGGTGGTTGTGGTCGTGGTTGGTTGTGATTGTGATTGTGAGTGTGAGTGTGAGTGTGAGTGTGAGTGTGAGTGTGAGTGTGAGTGTGAGTGTGAGTGTGAGTGTGAGTGTGCGTGCGTGCGTGCGCGCGTGCGCGCGTGGCGCGCGTGCGCGCGGGCGCGCGTGCGCGCGGGCGGGCGGGCGGGCGGGTGTGTGTGTGTGTGTGTTTATGTGCGCGCGTGCGTGTGTGCGTGCGTGCGCGTGTGTGTCTGGTTGATGGGATGTACGACATTCACGGGCATGTGGGGGGGGGGGCGGTGGTCGCCGAGTTGCCCCGCGAAATGGATGGTGGTCAGGTTGGTGTGCGCCGATTGCGCTACGTGCGCAGAAGAATATTGCTAAGGCCTTACGGCCAGCGCTGCCGACCCTGGAGTCCTCGGCCTCCGACGGAAGTGGGAGGGAGAGGGCGGGCCACGGGCCCCGTGAGGGTGGTATTCTGACCCAGGTCCACCCCCCGGGACCACTCCCGGGGACCCCCCCCCGGGCCCCTCCCCCGGGAACCCCGCCCCCTGGACCCCGCCCCCCCCGGGCTCCGCGGGGAAGGGATCAAAGGAAAGGGGTTTCCCTTTCGACTCGACGACAACGCTGCTTCATCTCGCTTGGGATGGGCTGCTGTATTTCGCTTTGGCTGGCGTGCTCGAGAAAGAGGCCCCAAGGAAAGGGGGGAGCGGCGACGGACTCCGGGGAAGGAGGGGGCGTGATGGCCGCGCGGCGACGCGACGGCGGCAGCGACGGCGATGGCGACGGAACAGCCCCTGTCACACGCCGACGGGGTCGGCGGACATTGATCAGCTTGAAGCAGTTCAAGCTGTGGAGGCCACGCTGGCGGCCTATAGGGCCGCGATGGGCCATGGATTTCGGGGAGGGGGGGGGGGGGGCGGCCCCCCCACCAGGCGGTAGAGACATTATTTAAAATCCTTGCAGACAGGCCGCTTAGGGGACTTCGTGAGAGTAGTGCTAAGAGTGAAGAGCAGTATCAGGGCCGAGACATGATATCGTACACAAGACCATAAGCCAGACCACGAGGGGGGAGGTCATTTTGGAAGCATGCGGGAGACCAGACGGAGAACCACACAGGAGATCACACAGGAAGCCACAGGATACGGGGAGGCCATACGGGAGACCTCACGGGAGGCCAGACGGAAGACCTTAGGACGGACCATACGGGAGACCGTGTGTGACACCATGTGAGAGACCATAGGCCAGAGCGCGCGGCAGACAATTCGGGAGACCTTAGGGGAGCCCATACGGGAGTCCAGAGACCACGCCCCACCGATTCCTCCATCCGGTAGACCAGGCACTTGATTCCTAGAGACATCATCTAGAATCCCTGAAGACACTGGACATGAGCATTGTGTGTGTGTGTTCAGAGGGCTGGTGGAATTTGGTTCACTGGTGTTTGCCGCCCTGTCTCTTCGCTTCAGAGGATGCCAGCGAAGAGGTTGCGAGCGCCAAGAACGGCAAAGGCGTGGCGACGCTCTCCGCGGCGTATGCGGGCGGTCGTTTCGGTCAGGCGGTGCTCGCTGGCCTCTCGGGTGAGAGGACGACGGAGAGCGCCTTCGTGAAAACCGACGGCAAGGTGTACCAGGATTTCGAGTACTTCGCGACCAGGTTCGGATGAACAAATGCAGAGACGCCGGATGGCTAAGGCCAGCCCATCAATGTTGCGAGTTTGGACAGGCTTCTTCCAGATGGTCTAGCAGTCGCGAGCGCATCTTCTCGTGTTTCGGGTCCAGTCCAGCGCCGCTAGTTTCTCAGACGCCGCCCTTTCGAATCTTGCACGACATGTGTTCCAACATTGATGTTTACAGTCGAGGCGCTGAAGAAGGAACCCTTTTCGTTGGGGAGGGGCTCGGTCTGCCTTGATTGTTTAACAGTTTGCCTCAGGTTTTCCTGAGGTTTTTCAATGGGAGATCGAAGTTTAACTTATGTGAAAGAGGGGCCCCGTTCCTTATTTAGGGTTCCTTAGGTCAACGCCCCGACTGTATTGTGCATCTTCCCAGTAGATCTATAAGAGAATTCAACCTTCCCAGTCTTGTCGTGTGCCCAGGATCAGTTCGCACTGGCTCCCAGCCTGGCCATGAGGGCGCGCACACTAAACTTGAGTCGGGCGTGTCCCTCTCCAGGAGGAATGTTCAAAAATAGTAGAAAAATCGTCTGGGGGCGATTGATTTGCTATTTTAGTCTATTTTCGAGTATTGTTTGACTATGCTTCATTTTCTGACCAAAATCCGCAGGGGAACATTCCCGACCCAAGACTAACCTGAGTTCTGGATGGTGGGCTGACGAGCTTGCTAGGTGTTTGTGTATTCCGAGCGTCTCCCTGACAGGGTCACCTTCGGGCCCAAGGGCGTTGAGCGGGTCCACCCTATCGGGCCCATCTCAGATGACGAGCAGGAGCGCCTGGACGGGGCCGCGGCGACCCTTCGTGAGGAGATCGACGAGGGTGTCAGATACGCCGACACGGTCGCCAAGGACACTCATTCAACGAAAGGCCTGAATCACGGATGCGGACACCCAGACAAAGTAGTCTGTCAATTCTAAATGTTTCGCGTAATCCCACCAGTCCATCCAGGAACGATGCCCAGGAGAGTTGCCTTGATCAGGGATGTGGTGGAGCATGCAGTGGAACGAAGGGTTGGGGAGACCGTCATACCCCACGAGTGGGAAGATGAGGAATCGGAGGAGGTGGAGGGGGAGAACAGAGGAGGGATGAGAAGGAACAGGCGGATGAGGAAGAGGAGGAAGAGGAGGGAGAGCAGAATGGCCAGAGGTTTCTACGATGCCTCCCAGAGTCTCTTCGGATGTATATTGAGATTTTCTTGGAGTCCTTTTAGGGGCGTCTTGGGGACCTCTTGGCGGTCCTTGGAGGGCTCTTGGAGCGTCTTGGGTCCCTCGGGGGGGCCTCTTGGGGCCTCCGGGGACCTCGTGGGCGCCTCTTGCGGCCCTCGTGGGGCACTCTTGGGGCACTCTTGGGGGCCACGTTGGGGCCATCTTGGAGGAGCTCGGTCGAAGAAGGGTCTTGCGCGTGGGCACCGCGTTCTCACCATCAGTGCTGGCGCCCTTCACTGGCCCCATCCTGCCATCTCCTACATTGGCAATGTGGAGCTCTCAAGACGGTGACAAGAAGCACCTTCGCGAGTGGGCTGATGGCCACGATCTCATCCACTGATCAAGGCCTGGCGCTCACCACTACGCTCCGCGAGGTGGATTCGTGTTCCACGGAACGCGCGACCTTGCTCGTATAAGCCAGCGGTGGTTGGCCTGCGCGCGTCGTCTGTCCAGTTGGCGCGGGAACCCATATCTGGCGCGCTGCCCTTTTAAGCACAGGGCCCGTGCGTTTCATCCCCCGCGGGCGGAACGCCGGGCGCGAGCGCGCAAAATGAGCCCAAATGTGGCTGCCTTACACGCCTGAAGCGTCCGATCGACGCTGGTCGCGACCCACGGGCCGCTTGGAACGTTCAGATGCGGACAGCCCAAAAGTCGGAGGTGGACAGAACCCGAGAATTGTCCGTTTTCGGTTCTCGAGAGGGCGCCGCGGCCGTCATTTTCCGGGCTTCCCCTGTCTGCTCCGGCTCCCCCCTCCTCTCATCGAAGCAGGGCCCCGATCCCCCCTGTGACGCCCTGCGCAGGCTTGGGTGGTACGCTCAGGCCGCGGGGGTGGGGACAGGAGCTGGCGGGTCTCTGTCTTCCCCTAGACATTTCATCGGACCAATCGCGCCAGGGCGGGGGGGTGCTCCTTCGGATGGGCCCGCCCGCTTCGGGAGGTCCAGGACTCGCCTCCTCTCCCTCGCCCTCACTCTCGGAGGCTGGCGCTGCGTGCGAGAGTGTCGCCTCGCTGTAGGGACAGCGAGTACACGGTCGGACGGCCCATCGCAGCCGGGCGGCCCATCGCAGCCCAGCCCGGAGGAGAGTTGGTTGAGATGACGGCGACGCCGCCTGCCGGCCCAAGTTCGCCCGCACTCGTTCCCCAGGCTCCTCCCAGGGTCGATCCGTGTCCGGTGCGGTTCCAGAGCCGTGCTGGCTGTAAGGTAGAGCTTCAGACGGAGGGAAGAAGCTCAGAGAGGGCAAGCGCCTGTCTTTCGCAGTCCGTGGGGAAGGGAACTTGAACAGGTTTTCGCTCTACCCGCGGGAAAGGAAACTTGCAGAGGTTCTCGCTCTCGTTTGCGATTGGTTGGAGAGGGAGCTTGCCAAGGTTCTGGCTCCAGCCGCGGGAGAGGCCGGCGTGAAGGAGCATGGCGTTGCGGTCACGGACACGCAGGAGCAGTCTGCGCCAGACCATGCTGGCATTTTCGACACGCAATAAGAGCGTAGCCGAAGGGGCGACATGTGGGAAGTCGCGGGCCCCGGCGGCGAGGGCTGTCACCGTTGGGCGACGGGCTGCTGCAGTCGCGCGCTCGGCGCTGTGATGGCTGGCCCCGTCGCTGCCTAGGCGGGCAAGCTTTCCCCGCGAGGAGCGGTTGCGGTTTGCGCGGCGCTTGGCGCAAGTTGCCATTGCGGGCAGGTCGATCGCGTCGCGCTTTGCGCAGAGGGTTTGTCGACTGCGAAGCTCCCCGTGCATGATGTACGCGCTCGGCGCAGCGGGAGGCGTTGCGCGACGCGCTCGGCGCTGCTGTTTGCCTCATCCGTGGCGGCGCGGTGCGTTCGAGCTCGCCCCCTGGCACCAGTGGATCCTGGGCTCCTTCAGGCCACGTCCCCTTGCGCGGGCGGCGCAAGTATTAAGTTGGGCACGTCCCTCTACAGGAGGAATTTTCAAACATAGTCAAAAAATTGTCTGGGGGCGATTGTATGACAATTTTGGAGCTTTGTTTGGCCATGTTTTAGTTTTCGTCCAAGATCCGCCTGTAGGGGGGCATGCCCGACCTAACGCAAGCATTGATTAGTTCAACGCTTGGATGCTGCAAGTGCCACGTGGGGGAGCCCGCCCTGTGCGTGATGCTCGCGGTCGGCGCCGCGCAGCAGGTGCTATCTGCTGGAGAGCTCGCCTGCGCATGCTCTCGAGGCGCGGAGCCCCCGGCGCGCGGCTTCCTCGGGAGTCGCCCGACGTCTGCGGCCTGGCACGTTGGAGGCGCCTTCGGGGCGCCTCGCCCTTGAACGGGCGCTACGCGCTCGGCGCTGTGCCCTGAGCCAGGGCCCAGCGTCGCCAGGTCTGCAACCTGTGCTTTGCCATAGTAGGCAGTGGCGCCGTGATCGTCGAAGACGATGTCGCATGCCGTCGGAGCGCGCACGACCGAGCAGACGAAGGCGCCCCCGTAGCAGACCGTAGAGGACGCCGATGCGAGCATGCGCACAAGAGCAAGCTGCGGAACACTTTTCATGTCCTGGCGATCCCCCCCATGCGGGCGGAGATGGAGCGGAAGAACGAGGGGAAGGGGCGGGGGAGGTGGGAGGCCAGCGGAGGGAGGAAGAGGGCAGAGGGACGAGGACACAGACGGCGCACGTTCGTGAAACAAGGGGGGGAGGGGCGATGCAAGTGAACTCAGAGCTTTGGGGGGGGGACCTTGGAGACTCCGGAGAGGGTGGGTGGGGTGGCGGATGGGTGGTGGGGGGGTGGTGGGGGGAGGGAGGGGCGGGAGAGAGGGGTGGGAGGGGGGGTTCGAGAGGGGTGGGGGGGGCGAGGTGAGGGGGGGAGGGAGGGGGTGGGGGTAGGGGTCAAGACTCCCTTCCCGTCTGCAAGCCGTCTCGCTCACTCCCACCCGCCCTCCCAACACATACGTAGCACCCGAGCTTGGCCCGAGCCGCAGCATATTCAGCAGCCGTCTTTGAAAGGGCAGCTACTGGGGGCCAATCCGCCGCGCCGCCGCCGCCGCCGCCGCGCCGCCGACCCGCCGCGCGCCGCCGCGCCGCCCGCCGCCGCCGCCGCTGCCGCCGCCGCCGCGCCCCGCCGCCGCCGCCGCGCCGCGCCGCCCGCCCCGCTGCCGGCCGCAGCGCAGCCGCCCGCCTGCCGCCGCCGCCGCCGCCTCCACCGCCGCCGCCGCCGCCGCCGCCCCCGCCGCCGCCGCCGCCACCGCCGCCGCCACCGCCGCAGCCGCCGCAGCCGGTGCCCCCGCCGCAGCCGCCGCAGCCAAGTGTACTCAGTATTGTTTTTTGACAGGGATGGTGGGGGGAGGTCGCATCGGGTTCGCTGTGCATGCTCCGAATTTGGGAGGCAGAGTGTGTTTTGTATGTTTTACAAGGGATGGTGGGGGCGGGCCCGCATTGACCTCGGTTGGCCCCCAGTCGTTTGGGGGAGGGGGTGTCTATTCATAGGGGGACACCTCCTAGATAGAAAATCGTTTAGCTCATTCCCACCCGCCTTCCCAACACATAGGTAACACCCGAGCCCGAGCATGTTCAGCGGTCGCCTTTGGATAGACAGCTATTGGGAACCAAAACCGACCCTTTGTGCGCGACGCTACGGCGAGGTGCGCCACGCATGCTAGGCGCGCCACGCGCGCCAGGCACCCCTGGGGCCCGAGCGTGCCAGGCACGCCTGGTGCGCCAGATGCGCCACGTGTCCCGCGTGCGCCAGGTGGGATGGTAGCCCTGCGCGCAGCAGGCAATATGCTGACACCCCCGCCGTCCCTTTCAACAACAAAACAAAAGTACTCGCGGGCCTCACGAACATGATTCAATATTTTGTCCCAGGGGGGGCGCATCGGGTTGGCCGCGCATGCTCCAAATGTGGAGGCAGAGTGCGTTTTGCATTGTTTTTTGACTGGGATGTTCGGGGGGCGATCATGGTTCCTGGTTTGCCGCCGGTCGCCTGGGGCAGGGGGTGTATATCATTAGGGGACAATGATGGAGGGGGTGGGCCGGACGGTGGTGGTGGTGGTGGGGGTGGTGGTGTGGGGGAGTGGATGGCGCGGGGTGGTGGTGGTGGTGAAGTCAGGGATAGTCAGGGATACGGTTCGAAAGAACAATAACACACACACACACACACACTAAACGACCTGCGCCCTGAGGGCTGATGGGATTTTCCAGTAACGTTTGCACCATGGGGTGCTCCCTGAGCAGGAAGGAGCTCGACCTGCTTGGTTGAATTATCCTTTCTCTTATGGTGCCCGGGGCTCGGTTCCCCCAGCTGGTGCTTCATAATGCTCGCGCGTTTCGATTGATCGTTCTTGCATTGGTGCCCCGTGGCTCGTGCAGCATCTTGCGTCGTTCGTTGAAATTACCATTTTCGCTGTGGTGCCCTATGATTTGTGCCTTCTCGGTTGGCGTCGTACGGCTCATGGTTTGCGCCCTGTGATGTTTCATTCGTTTCGGCTGCTCGTTCTCGCCCTGGTGCCTTATGGATGGTGCTCTTTGCTTTGTGCTATGTGGTGCTCTATGAGTTTCGCTGTCTTGCTGCCGCCTTGGTACCTTGCACGTCGTGCCCTATTGCATGCGCCCGACGTATCATCATTAGTTGTGATGTGTTGTTTTCGCTATTGGTGATCCATGGGTAGTGTCCTACATTTGGCACTCTATGATGCCTCATGAGTTGTGATTCCGTGTCTTGTCCTTGATCATGTATGGGTGGTTATTTATGGTCGGCGTTATATGACGCCCCATGTTTTGCGAAGTCGTGTTTCGTTGTGCTCCGTGGATGGCGCTCTATGGTGGCCCATGAGTTACGGCTGTTCGTTCTTACCTTGGTGGCGTCAGGTCTCGTTTTCGTTTGGTTGCGTGGTGCCTTGTTGGTGGCATATGATGTTTCATGTGGTGCGGTTGTTTACGCCCTGTGGTGCCTTGTGGTGCCTCAAGGTTTGCGCCTTGTGGTTTGCGCCTCGAGTGCTCCCTCAAGGGCAGGTTTTGATATAACTTCTATTCAAAAGCATTCGTTCGGCGAGGGGCTCAATCAGTAGCAACTTCATATGACGTTGGTTACGAACATCCACGATTGGTTTGAGGGATGTGCCGAAATTAATGGTGAAGCATGCAAACTATCCCACTGGGACAGTAGGTGGACCTCCCTAGGGGGAGGGCAGAAAATGTGTCAGGGGTACAGCAATGCGCGGGGAAACCAACTGCAGCCTTTCCCATTGGGGCCGTAGAAGGGGCCTCGCATAAGGGGCGTGCCGAAACGGCCCGAAGTGCGCATGCACTTTTCACACTGACTGAGGCCGTAGATGAAAGTCCCTACGGGGGTGCGATCCTTGATAGAGGCGTGCTGGAATGAGCGGCGACGCCATGCGGACCCTCAAACTCAGGCCGTACGCCTCCTCCTCCTCTTCCTCCTCCTCCTCCTCCTCCTCCGCCTCCGCCTCCTCCTCCTCCTCCTCCTCCTCCTCCTCCTCCTCCTCCTGGAGCTCCTTCTGTGGGCCACGATCTTCGCGACGGGTGCCCGACATGGGCGGCGCCGCCAGGCAGGCTCTCCCGCGGAGGCCGCGCGTGGCGCCCCCCTTTCAGACCGCGGCCTCTCTGCGTGTGGTGCACCGGCACGGACGGCGCCGCCGTGCAGGCCCTCCCGCTCGGGCCGCCGGCGGAGCTTCCCGCGGGGCCGCGGTCCTCGGTGGGGACCACGAACCGACAAGTCCAGCCTTTCGCCCCAAGCAGCTCCCAGGAGGCCCCCCCCAGAGGCTCCCAAGAGGCTCCCAAGAGGCTCCCAAGGGGTTCCCAAGAGGCCTCCAACAGGGCCCGAAAAGGGCCCCGATGGGGCTCCCAAGAAGGCCCCGAAGTGGACAGTGCCGCCGTGCGGGCCCCCCAGCTGGGGCAGTGGGACCCGATGGCATCCCGTTCGGTGCCGTGGCACGGTGTTCGATTCGCCATCCGAGGGACCACAGTGCTGGAGCCGCACATATCAACCGTGCGTGAACGACAGCTCTGGCTGCCGGGTAGCCCAAATTTTGCCCACCATCTCTTGAAGCGAGTCTCCGACCACAGCCACAACGATTGAATGTTTATCAATATGAGGGTCCAGGTCGTGATCTCCGTTTCAACATTCGAGGGGACGGGTTCTTTCACCGAAGGTGAATGGTTTTGATTGTTTCCCGGGGTTACTCCTTCCCGCACCCCGTGAGGACAACAACTACCGTGACGCATGATCGGCGGCCATCGCGTGCATTGCGGATGCAGCATGTCTGCAGGCAGGGGAAAATGACTGGCAGCGCTTCTTTGCAATGATGTCTTTTTTTCTGTGGCCAGAGATGATTGGACAGCTTGGTTGCCTTGACCTCCCCTCCCCCGAGCACAACAAGGGATATGTCACCAATTGATGACGAGTCCGGGCAATTACGTACACGATGTGTGTGTGTGTTGCGGCAAGGGGTAGTCGCGCTTATTCATTTTGTTTCTCTTCCTCTTCTCCGTCTTTGTCGACTCTCCTTGACGTAGGCGATATCGATGGCAAGATTTGTGGCACGCCCATGCGGTCGAGACGATCCTGACACTTTTGGAACGACCCCTGCCCAGGCATAATTGTAGGTATGTCTCCCTTCTCAAGCATGTTGCCACCAATGCGACCTGTTCAAATAAATCGGCCCGCCAACATTCAGGAGGAGAAAAAACACACAGACACAAGTAATCGTCGATTCCCACGAACATGTGGGAAAATATGGGAAGTGGGGGGGGAAGACAAAAACGAAGAGAATCTGGGAAAATATGGGAAATCATGTTATTCCCCATAACCCATGATGGGGTTCTTGTTATTACTTGGACGGCGCCGACTCCAACCAGAACCAGAACCCCTCCTCTCTTCCCTCCTCCTCCTTCCTCTCTTCCTCCTCAAACTTATTCATGCACAGAGTTATTCTTAATCAGACTCATTTCTACTCAGACCTAGTCATACTCATTCATACTCATATTCAGACTTTCTCATGATCAGGTTCATTTATATTCAGACCAAGTCATACTCAGGCTTACTCATACTCAGTCTCGCTATCCTAAGATGGGGGTATTGTTATTTCTTGGACGCCTCCTACTCCTCATCCTTCCTCTTCTCGTCTCCTCCTACTCGGACTCACTCATACTCAGACTTACTCATACCCAGACTTACTCATACACAGACTTTCCCATACACATACTTACTCATACTCAGACTTACTCATACCCAGACGTACTCAGACACAAACTTACTCATATTCAGACCTACGCATACTCAAACTTCTCTCAGTCTGACTTACTCAACACACATCAGATTGGGAGGATGTCTCAGGCGGGGCGCTGATTTCAGCACCCCTAAGGGGAGCCGCCAGGGGTGTTTGCACGGGCCCGTTCGCGGCCATGTTGTGGGGATTTCTCAAGCGGTTTGCTTGTTTTCATGCTCAACATCCTTCGCTTGGAGAGCAGATTGCGAGGATGTCTCAGGCGGGGCGCTGGTTTCAGCACCCCTACGGGGAGCCGCCAGGGGTGTTTGCACGGGCCCGTTCGCGGCCAGTTTGTGGAGATGTTTCAGGCGGCTTACTCGTTTCCATGCTCAACATCCTTGGTGTTCATAGGAAGTTCTGAGGATGTCTCAGGCGGGACGCTGGTTTCAGCACCCCTAAGGGGTGCCGCCAGGGGTGTTTGCACGGACCCGTTCGCTGCCATTTTGTGGGGATGCCTCAAGCGGTGTTCTTGTTTTCATGCTCAACATCCTTCGCTTGGAGAACATATTGTGAGGATGTCTGAGGCGGGGCGCTGGATTCAGCACCCCCCAAGGGGAGCCGCCAGGGGTGCTTTCACGAGCCCGTTCGCGGCCAGTTTGTGGGGATGCCTTAGGCGGTTTGGCTGTTTTGGTGGGCAGACTCGTCTGCGTTTAGAGCAGTTTGTGAGGATGTCTCAGGCGGGGCGCTGGTTTCAGCACCCCTAAAATTAGCCGCCAGGGGGTAGGACGCGGCCAGAATACTGAGGAGGGGGAATGAATGGGAGGCTCATATTCAATCATACTCAAAGCTTGCTCTGACTCATGCTCACTCACTCGCAGTAGGATTCACTCGTCTTCGCCGGCCCTGTCGCCCACGTGGACGCGCTATTAAAGTCAAACGCTCATGAACAGACGCTCACTATGGCATGACATAGAACATGAGATGCACATATGGGGAGCTCCACGCAGTGAGTACACTGTGTATATTTATGTGTGTGTGTGTCCCAGGGCCCCTTCAAATATGTTGACCAGGTGTGCTCACGTAGCCAGGGGTGGCCCACCGAAGTACTGGACGAGCTCAGGCGAACATGGGACGGAGTCCGCGCGATACCCGTGTATACCTATTTGCTCGAACAGGGCTCTTGTGAGCAATCGTTCAGTTTGTACCAATGCACAAGCGTAAGGTGTCAGCAAGGTGGAAATGCCCACAAGAGTGAGAGTGCTACGGTTTGACCAAGGCATAGCTTAACTCCTCATTCCCTCGTCCCTCATCCCCGTTCTGCTCATCCTCTCTGCAAAAGGCACCCATGCTCCACCACCAACCCTGGCCAAGCCATCCTGGGCCCCAGGATGGTGTCTATGCCCTCTCGGTCTTGGCCAGGAGGGCGTATGCACCATGCCAGCGCTAAGAATGGCCCTGGCCAGGCACGTTGGTGGTGTATGTGCGACTGTTCTCTTTGGTTGGGATGTAATGGGGATGAAGCTGCACCCGCATGTGTGTGTGTGTGGGTGTGTGGGTGTGTGGGTGTTTTATGTGTGTGTTGTGTGTGTGGTGTGTGTATGTGTGTGTGTGTGTGTTTTGTGTGTGTGGTGTTGTTGTTGTTATTGTTGTTGGTGTTGTTGTTGTTGTTGGTGTGGTGGTGGTGTTGTTGTTGTTGTTGTTGTTGTTGTTGTTGTGTGTGTGTGTGTTGTGTGGTGTGTGTTGTGTGTTGTGTGTTGTGTGTTGTGTGTGGTGTGTGGTGTGTGGTGTGTGGTGTGTGGTGTGTGGTGTGTGGTGTGTGGTGTGTGGTGTGTGGTGTGTGGTGTGTGGTGTGTGGTGTGTGGTGTGTGGTGTGTGGTGTGTGGTGTGTGGTGTGTGGTGTGTGGTGTGTGGTGTGTGGTGTGTGGTGTGTGGTGTGTTGTGTGTGTGTGGTGTGTGGTGTGTGGTGTGTGGTGTGTGCGTGTGTGTGTGTGTGTGTGCGTGTGTGTGTGTGGTGTGTGGTGTGTGGTGTGTGGTGTGTTGGTGTGTGGTGTGTGGTGTGTGGTGTGTGGTGTGTGTGTGTGTGGTGTGTGGTGTGTGGTGTGTGGTGTGTGGGGTGTGGTGTAATGTGTGGTGTGTGTTGTGTGGTGTGTGGTGTGTGTTGTGTGTGTGTGTGGTGTGCGGTGTGTGGTATGTGCTGTGTGGTGCGTGGTGTGTGTTGTGTGGTATGTGGTGTGTGGTGTGTGGTGTGTGTGTTGTGTATGGTGTGTGG